TACGTATTTGAATTTCAAATCACATTAATGCACGAAATGTTAAATAAAAATGTTTAAATGTATTTGAGTGCTTACACAAAAAATGAACAACTTTTCTGTTGAATCTATCCGAATATTATTTCCATAGCTACAAAAAAAAGGAACACAATCAGCAACATTTCTGTCTTCTTTGCGACATTTCTAAGCTCCTTGGCAATATTTCTGTGTTGTGTGCCACAATTTCACAGTGTTTTGTACACATGAACTATCATAGATTTTAGAATGGATATAAAAGATTTCAATCATCCCTAGATTGGTTGTAGTAATTTATGAGCGTCGCTGACACCGATAGAAAATTTGGTGTTAATAAAACCATAATTGTTTTGCATTGACGTACGTTGAATTCGTGGGCTATTCAAATATGTACTTGGCACCATGATGGAAGTTCCATCATGGAACCTCTGAAGATGTCCACCTCCGATTTCAATGACCCATATGTTCATCGATCGATGTATAAAGACAGTTTGAAAAGCAGTTCATCATTCAAAACACCGAGGCATAAACGACACTGTTAAATATTTTAAATCGCTAAAAAACACCAGAACGAGTTCAAAACTTCCGGATATAGTTAATCTTAATTGTTTTGCATTCACATACAAGCGTCGCACGTTCTAAGTTGTTAAATTGTATGCAGCTTAAGGATTTGGATCTTAAAAACGGTAATTTTTCAATAAAATCTTCAAAATGAAAAGTATCGAGATATAGTAGTTAATCTATCCGCTAGACACGATTAGAATATCGAAAAAATTAAAAAATGATGTGTTTGTCCTGAGAAAATATAGTAGTTCATTTTGAAGCGCAGAAAATTCTCGATCTTTCGATATTTAAAATATTCCGGGTCTGAGCAGATGTGTGGAGGAAATATTCTTTAAATCCTTAAGATAAATGAAAATTCTTATATCACCAAGTATTTCGACTATTGACCCATCTAGACATAGTTTTGAAAGACTTATTTGTAGCTCATTTTTGAAGCCCGAAAAATTCTCTATCTTTCTATATATGAGCTTTTGCCAAGGACTTTGACATCAGACGAAAAGTTTTGGGATAAAATGACATGGTATTTGTTGAAATGGGCACCAAAAATGATAGGAATTGTTCAACCGATTTTTTTTTGCGCAATGTCACTAATTCTGTTGTTACGTCATCATATTTCTTCTGATAATTTACTTCTTCATTTAGTGACGCAAAACAGGAGTCTACGTGGTCTTCTGTATGAATGTCAACATCATCTGCTGGTATAATCACCGGTGGTCTTACTGACGATAATAGTGGAGTTAGAGCAATCAACGTGAGTGCCGCTACGTTTGGTTTGGATTTGTCAGTATAGAAGCACTGTTGCACTCAAACAAGCAGTAATAGATTGAGACGAACTTACTTTTTTACTTAATACTTCTCTACTCGATTGTGCTGGCGTGGTTACTTCAGTAGTAATTGCCTTTGCAGACAATAATTTGGAATCTGATTCATTTTGGATTGATAAATAGCTCTTTTTCGTGGTTCTAGCATGGTATTGTTTCTGTTGTTGCTGAGTGTCACCCTTTTCCGGTGCTTAAAAAATACAGAAGCATTTGTCTAAAAAAATTAGAAATATTGTATCGTCACGGACTGTCAATTCGTCACTCGGATAGCATGTTAAACTTTCATCACTTTCTGATGTATCCGCGACTTTAGTTTCCTCATCGGTAAAGTCTTCTTTACGTTCTCTTTCTTGACGACGTCGCTGGTTTTTCGCCATGTCTCGCTGTTTTCGTTGTTCAGCTAGTTCTTGTTCAAATTCTTCCTGTTCACGTTTAAAACGTTCTTGTTCTGACGCACAAAAACGTTCTAGTTGAATTTCACATTCTTGTTGTGTACCTATTAGAAAAAAAATGAAACGAGATCGAGCGGATCGAACACATACTCACCGGCAAGCATAACAGCTCCTCGATGAGCATTTCTGCGCTCATGGGGTCCAATTTTGAAACAGCTTTGTTTGGATTGTTTGATCGGTTGATTTATTGGAATTGGAAAAATAGGTTAGTGGAATCACTCTAAATCCTAGTTTACCTTGTGCTTTGACTAACAAATATTGATTGTTCTCATTTCCATCCTGTGTTGTTTTAATTTTGTGAGATTTTGCTGTTGCAGATTTTTGCGTTGACAACGTAGCAGCATTCGAAGACATAAAAACGATGAACACTGTACCAATGAACAATTTAAGATATACGATGCTCAAAAAGAATATATAACACGCATACTGTCTAAATCAAACTAAACTGATAAGATAAATGTGAAACATGAAACATTTTTCATGTAGATATACATATAGAAAAAAGACGAAATATAATGTGACAGCAGTAAAATATAGAAACGAATGTGTCTGTCACAATGGAAAAAAAAATGACAAGAAAATGAACTCTCGATTGCATGAATATGTATGATAAAAGAAATTATATGTACGAACATGCAGCAGACAGTCCGCTCTGCTTGTTGCAGTATAGCGAGAAAAGAAATTTGTCCCGTTACAACTGAGGGAAGTCCATTAGTCACTAATTTAAGCCTCACTCCAGAGTCCTGCAGGTTACCAGTTTTTGGCAACCTATAACCTAATCTATACAAAATTTGGCAAACTAATCCTAACCTAACCTATGGATTCGATAACCTAATCCTGACCTACAGAAACGAACATAGTTGACACAAAATATTGTCCAACTATTTTGCAGTCTATTGTCTTAAATAAGGCAACCAGACATAAAGAATAAGAACGAAAATGTCGTTAAAATCAGAAAAAAGTTTTCATTTGAGCAAAAGTAAGTTATGTTGATCTTTCCAGTAGAATTTTCTATCCTATGAATTCTGTAACTGCTTCGAGTAGACCTTGTATACACATGTACGATATTGTGCTCTACTCTTCAGCAAAAAATGTATAAGTAAGCTCTAAGTTTCTTCTTTTAGAAGAGGAAATAAACACTATACCATAGTTTTTAGTTAGTCCCGACAAAATTTGTTTTTTCGTTTTCCATCTTTACATGAATCGAGTTAAATACATATTTTATTTGCTTTATTTCTTTATAACATATAGTTATATATATCATCCTGCGAAACTTTCCTTTGTTTTCTGCCACTACGAAGGAAAATTACAAGAAGAAATTGTTATACCTGATCAAGTTTCCTGACCCATTGGATCTGAAAATAGTCCCTAGGATAAAATATTAGATTACGGACAACAATGTTATGATAGCTAAACGGATAAAGAACAAAGAGTTTTATTGAGTTGCCACGCGTTTTTACTTTTTATCCTGTTACAATCATTAAATTACGTTAGACAACGCGTTACGAAGACTTAACGTATTACAACGTAGAAAATAAAATATTCCGTTAAAACGCGCTATCTGAACCATTGAATGCCATACAACGAAATAGAATTTATTAACGCGTTAGAACGGTATGAAATCTGTGGTCCTTCACAACGCGTCGCACTTTTATCGTTAAATTGTAGCCCTTTAACGCTGAAAAACCATTTTGTATCAAAAAAACCTCATGGGCTAATTGGTTCTACTTGTAGAATGAAATTCCGAATCTATTTAAGATGGAAATTTGCATGACCAAACATTATATCTTGGTGTTATCTTATCGCATGGCGAATCGGCATAAGAGCAATAGCGTGAATCGAGAAGACTTATGATGGTGAAGTTGGTCGTTTTTATTGATTTAACCAATATTATTGTAGAAAACTCGTCGCCATACTCATGTTATTGCCTAGTATGAATAATAAACATAGATATGTATTTTAATGTCAACTATATTTAAAAACAAGGAATCTAAAACCACAAGCAGAATTCTCGTAGTAATTCTCAAAATTCTTGTACACAGAGGCACAATCAGCGTC